CCAAGACAACTGAAAATGCAATCTGGTCTAATACAGAAAGTCATATAACTGAAGAAAGCATTACAAATCGATGACTAACCAAAAAGCCTCCCTCTACCCATTAACCCCTTAGCAGACACTGAAGTAGTGTGTTGCACCCAACTGCTCGACTTCTTCAGGAAATCAAAAACCCCTCCAGAACAAACGCGCTCACTGGCCCTTGAGACAATCAATGTCAACTATCCTGCAGAGCAATGGTTTCAAGTCTTCACTGATGTGTCTTACATAGAAAACCAAGCAAACGTTGGTGCAGGTGTTTACTCTGAACTATTCTTTTTCTATACAGCAGCAGGACACAATAGATCCGCTTTCGAAGGAGAAATAGCGACCATTAAAATAGCACTATGCCAATTATGTTGCGTTGATACGAAAATCACCAAAGCAGTAATTCTTTCAGACTCACAGTCAGCAATAAACTCAATTGGAAGCAGAGAGCCATCCAGAACAGCTGAGATATACGAATGTAAAAAAACTCATTCAGCTGCTGAGAAAAACAACACAGTGGTCCTACAATGGATTAATGGACACTGTGGCAAAAAAGGCAATGAGCTTGCTGACGCACTTGTTAAGAAGGGGACAACAATTTTGCAAGGCATAGACCGGCTGATGTTTTTCCACACAATGAAGACCTTAATTAGGAGAGAATTCATGACCTCAAGGTGCCACGAGCTTAAAGGAACAAAGGAGAAACAGTGGACACTTGTACTCTCTGACATAGCCGACTGGTCAAGAATCGAAGCCGTTGTTAAGTTTAGACTACGTACCGGACACGATTGCCTGGCAAAGCACTTTCACAGATTAGGAGTATACACTCAACCAACATGTCCACTAGTGCCCTAAATGAGGAAATGCAGAAGAACCGGCCATAAAGACAACGACGGAAACCCAAAGATACTGGGAAGCCAGAAGACAATTAATGAACGGCTATTAATTAGCTGCTTTATATGCTCTTCCATCCCCCCTTTTGATAGCCGATTTCAAATAAGGCGCTAATGATAAATATCATAAAGCCTGCCATTTGAAATATATACAAATGTAGCAAGATCATTACGGAGGTGATCAGGATGCCACCAAAATATATTTTTTGCTTAAGACATTGCAAATCGAGCTCAAATATTCCTTAAAAGCTCTAATGCTGAAAGTTTTTTAGTATTTAACCGATAATTTTAATATATTTTTGGATTATTTTTTCAATTTCATTGTCTAAATTGAAGGTAAGTTTCCTTTTCGCAAATCACAAATACAAATACAAAGCATTGTGTCAAGATTTAAAGCAGATAGGCTTAAATATGATTTTAACTTTTTTCCGACTTTTTACTTTAAGCTAAATTAAATCTTGGAAAAAATAGGAAATGATCCACCTATTTATAAATTATTATTTAGCTTAGGATTTCTAAGTAATGACTGATTTTATAAATTAATTTTCAAGATAAAAATTTTAGTAACGCGATAATTTTTCTTTATATGCTCATCATAACATATTTTTGTTGTTTTAAGTATGCTCCCTTTGCTATCACCCTCAATCTCTTTTAGCCACATACTTTCGACCCGCAATCTCATTGTCAACTGTTCGTTAGTCTGAGCCAACTAACATGATTATTCGAGTACAGTCCGAAAACGGAACTAAAAGAATCAGCTTGTCTGAAACGGACTCATTTTCGAAGCTCTTTGAACTTACAGCAGAAGCCTTTCACTTTGATCTGAATGCAGGTTGGGAGTTGTCTAGGTCTCGCAAACTCGCTGATGCTTTTAAGCGATCGACTAGAGGTATGGTCAAAGACGCTAAGCTAAAGTAGGTTGGTAAATTTACAGTATTTTTTCCAATTTCTATGTTTTGTTAGCTATTTTCTTATAAATTTTTAGTGAAGGTGATATGCTATATGTTGTAAAATCAGAAGATAGGGCAGCAAAACCTGAGGGCAAAGGTGTAAGTGTTCTTTGATACGGTTTTCAAAATAATTGTGTGGTATTCATTTATTTTCCTTTCCAGACTTCAAATACTGAACCGACGGGGACAAATGTAAAAGAAGATGATGTGGACAAGATCATTGAGACGATGGACGGTAAAATTAAACGCGTGAAAGGACCCATGTATGTTGCTATATTTTCGCTTATTTTTTGTTTCATAAGGTGCCATCATCCCGATCTTGGAGTCTGCATTCATTGTGTCCCTCTCGAGGTTTGTTACAATTTTTAATGCATCAAATGCTCGAATTCCTTCAATGTGCTGAATTGAAGGCTCTTTTATTTTAATAGCCCTCAGATCCCGATTACCTCAGTCTCTGTGACCCATCTGTTAAATTCATATCTTTCCATGCCTACCTTCGTAAACTTAGAGGGGGTGGTAGCAAGTAAGTTCGGTCATTTATCTTGTTTTTTAACGAATTTTTCTAATCGTATGGTGCAATGTTCTTGAGCTTACGCATAAATTAATTGGTTAGGTCATCTGCCCTAACGGCATGGGCTACTTGTTAACAGCTTCAAGTCCAATATCACGAGATCGGTACACATCCTGTGAAAGCAATCAACTACTACGCACATTAAAATTCGTCTGATTTCGATGACATTCATAATGCTATTCCTCTGTCCGGAATGATTAGTGAAGGATGCCTGCCCTGCATTTCTGTTGCCCTTTTTGTTTCGTCTCATCTAGACCGGAGTTTCGTTAATAGTTTTGAAACTCTGCTTATTAATATTAGTCAATATGGTTTTGTTTGTGATTCCCCGCATTTTAATTTTTTTCTGTTTTCTGGAAACTTGTAGTGTATCCAGCAGTTTTTGACTCTTATTTTTTATTCTTACCGTCAATTATAATTTTATTACTCATAGTGTGCTTATGCTTAATCCCATATTTTTTACCATTGTGAAAAATGAATTACTATTATGAAAGATGTTGTCAATCCCTGTTCTTAGTGCTATTATGCATGGCGGCATATCTAATTATGAAGAACCTTCTTTATTGTCTTTCTCTTGTTTATTCTGAGTTCGCAGACCTGTATATTGAATTGAACGCATTGAGAGTTCAACATAGTCTGTTTTGCGTACCGTGCTAATATACTTTCTGTTATTAACACAAACCGTTGTAGTGAAAATTGTATTTGACCATGGCCACAAATTAGTGAATGGTGTATTTTTTTCAACTGGCGATCTTTGTGGCTTCAAAATTTGCCGTGTATATAGTTCGACTTTTGAGCCTTGGCAACTATTCAAGGTCAGATCGCAATTTTGATGGTTTCCAGAGCACTCCAATTAATTGCAGAATCAACCACGCTTAATAAAATAAGTCGAAAATGGATTAGTGGAATGCGATTTCCCCATCAGATCGTCTTCAGAATGCTGCTTTTCTTCCAAGTACAAAAGGAAAATTCGCCTTGAATATTTTTCTAACGTAACGTTTGTTTGTAATATTTTCCAGAGGCAAATTTGTGACATTGGAGAACGTGCGCTGTAGTCTCCGTGGTGGTTGCACCTCTCATCCCCCATGGCCTGAAGGTATCTGCACTCACTGCCAACCCAAGCCCGTGACCCTGGAAGTACAACCCTATCGACATGTAGATTACGTTCAATTCGAAAATGGTGAGGTTATGGAAGGTTTCCTGGAATACTGGCGTGCTACTGCCAAACAACGAATTGGCATTCTTCTAGGTGATTATGCGCCTTTCAACACGTCCGGTTCCCCGCCTCTTGCTATTAAAGCGGTTGTATCTGCAATCTATGAACCCCCTCAGGTCTGTAGCAGCGATTCTTATTTTCTATATGAAATAATAGTTTCACTACTGAACTTTTGATGAGAATCAGATATGGACAAAGTACTTCAAAATGTTTAAGCTCACTTAAATTATCCTTCACTCTAGTCACACAGTGGTTCTGTTTTATATGATAAGCTCATTTTTAAATGCTAATAATAAAATTCGCATAATTTGAGATGCACACTTTCTTCTGCAGATCAATGGATTAGAACGTGGCGCTTTCGAAAAAAATCAAGACCGAACATTTTCAGAGCTATTGAAATGAGTGTTTTATTAGTCCCTCATGATTTATTAATCTTTATGAAGATTTCTGCTATTTGTTTATTTCGTCTTGAAGGATGAATGAAACAAGCCCCAAAAATTATTCCTTCTAGTTGTTGTGTTCCTCATTTTGGATGTGTCGGTTTCTGTGCTTAGTTGTTCCACTTAGAGACGAAACTGCACATTTCGATTTTCAGAATGGATGACTGGTGGCAGTTGACTTTCCAATCACTTAAGGAATGCTATTCATTCAATGGAAGCATATTTCTCAGAGTATAATTTTCCATTTTCCCAATCTAATAAATGTTGACATTTTTTGGCATAGCTCGTGATAGCTTACATCTAAGATTGCACTTAATTGAAAGCCTTTCGCGCAAGAAAGTGCACTAAATGTATGTCTAAATGGGTCAGTCTATTATTTTTAGAGCTTCAGTGGATATTCCAGTAAAATTAAGTTTGGATACTTTTCCACCTCACGGTTTCGCTAATTTTCTTTTAATTTAATTTGCTAGGAGGCAACAAGTCGTTCAGTGCGTTTTACCTGCCCTCTGGATCAACTTCTGCCCAAATCTGTGAAAGAAGCCGCTGCGGCATTGAATCTGAGACCAGTAGGTTGGATATTCACTGACCTAACTGCAGATGGTACAGTTGGTACTGTACAACACTATCGTGGTGATATGGTGAGTATTAACTGTTGAAATGAATTTCAGTAGTTAAATGAATATCCATTATTACTACTAACTTGTACACTCTGCCCTGCTCACATAGGACACATTTTTCATGAGTGCAGAGGAGTGTATAACTGCGGCCCACTTACAGAATCTACATCCCAATCCCTCTCGATACAGTCCTGATGGTCATTTCGGATCGAAATTTGTCACTGTTGTGGTTACAGGGGGCGGAGACAAACAGATTCACTTCGAGGCCTATCAGGTCTCCAATGTTGCTATGTCACTTGAATCGGCAGGCATACTAGTGCCGACGTTTGATGCTCCCGAATTGGGATACATTCGGGAGTCAACAAAAGACCAATATGTACCCGATGTATTCTACTCGGTTAGTTTTACATTCTTCTTCGCCTCATGTTAATGTTATCTTTAATAATGTTTGTATTTTTATCAGTCTATTGATAAGTACGGTAACAAAGTTACCAAGATTGGACGCCCCTTGCCTATTGAATACCTCCTTGTTGATATGCCAGCAGCTTTCCCACTGGAGCAGACTTTCACCTTTGCTGAACAGAGCAACTACCACATACCCAAGCATGTTATGTTCCCTATTGAAAATCGTGAAGATTTGGGGCATAAGCAGGTACTTATTTAGTTCATCTCTGCGTAGTGGCCTTGTTTACATTGTTTGAAGTTTAATTTTTCTCTTTTTACAGAACATAGAGGCATTCGCTCGTCATTTCGCAGCCTATGGCCGTGAAAAGCTCTACCCGTGTCTTAGCAACTTCCACGTATTGGCTTGGCTTTCTGGGCAAGTGGATTCTCTACCTTTAGACAGACAGAGCTTTAATAGCCTCTTAGAAACCCTCAAAACGCGGAGCTCTGTCTCCGAATGGGCTGAAAACTGCCCTTCTTGGAACTCCCTTGAGTTGATTCTTCAAACACTTGAGTCAGGTAAGTACTAACTCTAAACAACTCTATTCTATTTAAGATATTTGTCAAGAATTTTAACAGTGAATGTGCGTAAATTTTACACCTATGCACACCAAATTTCACAGTTTTCGGATAGAAAAATATAGATGAGCACACATGACCTAATTATAACTCTAAAATATATAAATATTTGCAGACAAGGAGGACGTTTAAAGTAGCAAGTTTAGGGTAATGGGTATAGGAAAATCAGTTATCTCACAAATCTGACCGAGTGCATTTAGGTTAGTGTAGAAAGAAGCCAAAATGTGACTTTGCTAGAGTCCTGTCGTATAGTAGCCACCAAATACAAGTGTTGCCAACTGTTCTGTCATCCAACCTTCAGATTATGGTTATTTCCGAGCATTTAATTCTGTTATCAACTTTGGTTTGGTTTATGAAATGGGGATTTATTAGCCAACCGAATCATTGCTAACTTTTTCTCTTAATGATATTGATCCTCAATTGACCAACGTAAGCTATATTGCAAATCAGAGATTTGCTTGACACTTCCTACAGAAAATGTAATCAGAACAGTCATATATTACCCTGTCAAAATCACGTCTTTGATACAGCCTTTATATTTTTACTTTCCAACAAAGGTGGCGCCAGCATACCAATGGACACAAGCGATACGCCAGGTGCGTCAGCATCAGTTACCACGGCGACCACCAGTTTCTACGGCCAGTCGGGAAGCCGCAACAGCAGTAAGAACGATTTGAGTGAAGCTGATAGTTTTTGGGCTTGTCAGCATTGCACTCTTCACAACTCCCTCGATCAAACTGAATGTGAAATGTGTGGCCTACCTCGCCGAATCTAGAACTGCACATTCGCGTTTCCCGATGCCTTTTGACACGTGTGACATAACTTATCTAATTATCCCATTTCTTGTCCCTTACTACCTGGAAGTACGTTTAATCCATATTGTACTGTTGTGATTTCTCGTTCTGCTGTTGGAATAGATAGAGAAAATGTTAAGAATAACAACAATCAGCCAAAAACATTTTGTTAATTAAGCAATGGCATTAAATATGAATACAAGTAGTCTTCATATTGTTAATGTTGAGACATCAAAGCACCGCCGGACTGACAACCCTTTTATTCCCAAATAATTTTCAACCTGCAATCAGGAAAGTACGGCTTTCGTCTGAATAAGGATGGATGCAAATGGATCATCTTTATACGATGCTTTTGTTTTGTCCGTACTCCTATCTCTTGCATGGGAGGTGAGGAGCGATGACTAACAGTAGGCTGCCGAACACCAAAAGTTGGGTGCGGGCCAAAGTGTAGTGTACAACAATTGTTAACACCCGAGATGAAGAAGAGAAAAGTTGGAAGGGATTCAAAGAGCTTGTATTTAAACGTGTGAGAAGCGTGATGTGTGGTGCTTGCGTTAAAACTCAACGGGTGTAGCACGAAAGACAATTCCTTAGGTTGAGCTACTTCATTCTTATAAATTGGGACAGATAGTGCTTGCCAATGAGAGGTTGGGTACGCATGGGATACCTTTAATCTGATTGATGACACAGTATCTTGAGCACTTTCCTTCTAGGCAGCAACTTCGACTAGTCCGGTAAGCAACGGAAGAACTGCATATCAACAGACCAAATTTTTGTTCAATATTTCGCTTTTCTATTAGCCTAAGTAATAGGTATTAAATCTAACAATTGTATGCTCCTCAAGTGAATCTTGTAGACTTTCACAGAAAAAAAGAATGGCTCTAGCTCATGAGAGCAATATAGAACATATAAAAATACCTTCCTAGGTCGACAAACTCCGAGAGGATGTAAATAGTTGCGCGATATTTACATTAAACAAATTAAGACTGGATAGTAGAGGGTATAGGCGATATAAAAAGTAAAAAGCGATAATTTTTTGCAGATAAAAGAATGAAGAATGCGCAGAACAGGGCAATGGAGGCAGAAATTCGATTTAATTGGGTAATGGTTAAACGTGAGAAAATAATAGCTTCTGATAAAATATTTAATGCACATATCTACTGAACTATGTTAAATCCCTGAATATAGGATGATCGGCAATTATTAATAAAGACGGCTTGAGCACTTGAGAAAAAAAGGAAAGTATAGACGAAATGAAAACGCGTGTTAAGCAAAACTCTCAGGTAAACCAATCGACCATCATTAAACTCCATCTTCTGTTCATTCCATGTCTCTTTATATCAATTTTAAAACAAATACTTAGAGTACTAAACTAAAGTATATCCATGATTAAACGGACTAAATTGAAATCTTAAAAAAACATGTTCAGGAAAATCTTTGAATTGAGAAATCGCATTACGAGCCCTCCCATCCCCCTTCAAGTAGGAACACCTAAATCTACCACCCCCTCCCCTAGTGTAATTGGAAATTCATTTTACAGAAGGTACACCAACGAATGAATAGCCTCAGCCAAAGAAGCATTGTGATTGACAAATTCATTTCCTTTTATCCTACTAAACCTAAATTCAGTGTCTTTACTTTCGCATATATGAGCATCACTGGGCTTTACTAGAAAAAAGAAAGCATTATTTGTGCAAGTGGAGGACAATAGCTCATTCCGCTGAAATAAAAGTAAAAAACTACTGATTTACTACTGAAATTGATTAGTAGACAGGCGATAATTAAACAGAAACCAGGAGAAATCAAAGGTGTTAACGGGATATCAATTCAATCGGCATATGCCCATCATCACCAATCCTCAGGGCAACCACAGTACAAGTCTTTTTTTCTGCAGAGGCTTCCACGAGCAACTCTGTAATACTTCCATGGGGAAGGGATATTCGCAACCAAGCCTCCGGAGGTAACTGGAGAGCTCGACACAGCCAGTAGCGGAAGACATTGGCGTGCCCCACGAAAAGAATTACTTCAACTGGTTGTTTTACATGGAAAGCCGGTGGAAGATACTCGTTGATAGATCGACGATGTATGTGATATTGGAAACTTGAGTAGATCTGATTTTGCATCTCAATTCTCTCAGCTAATTCTGAACCACTTAAACTCTCGACGTACTTTTTCCGTGAGGCTAAAATCCATGGAGAAAACAATGGAGTAAAATAGTGCACATATGTTTATATGAGGTGAATAGGCCTGAGTAGACCGGTGGATCACTTTATGACGATACAAATAAAAATATTAGAAAAGTTGGAGTGAGAGGTATGTTAAGATCCTAGGGTTGAAACGAATTCAAAGAAAACGGCAGAATAAAGTCAAGATGGAAGAGCATGGGTTATGTTTAATTTGAACTTAAAAGTGTCAATGGAAGGGCAGTAATTTTACTAATTTAAATAAACGTTCCTCACAAGTCATATGATAAAATGGGCAAAGAGTATTCAGTGTTCGAAGCAGGAATAAGAAGATATTTTGAGCAAAAATACTTCAGATATATGGTGACTTACAAACGCGAATAGGATACTCTGACCACCACATAAACATCAATTTCTTACGTCTTATTCTAATGCTTCAATGTGCCACATTACCGTAATCAAAATCAGCAGGAGATAGAGGTTGAAATAGCCACCATATGATTCAATTAAGTAAATACATGAAAAAAAGTAGAAAAATCTTACAAGAACAAGGTTCGGGCTCAACAGGAGGAGGGCCCTCGGCCAAAAGCGGGGATTCGAGAAGAGGGTAGCTTTTCGAGAAGAGTGGAGATGGTCGAACAGGCGCATCATCATCATTATCGCAATTAGAACTGGAGCTATTTTCAGTTAACTCAAGTATCCCAGTATCGGAAATTTGAACCTGATCAAGTTGTGAAAGAATGCCAGCTGTCGTTTGCCGCGCACGTATCAAATTAGAATGGACAATGCAATCTATTCTAAAAGAATTTTCGAAATTTTAAATAAAAAACTACTTATAACCGAGCTCCCGCAATCTATTTCCAGTCGCGATAGCTTGCTTCCAGCCAAGGGGTGTGAGAACCTTTTCACCTGAAGAAGGGGCTTTAACATCATATTGGCCATGACGAACAAGAATAATGAGTTTCAAGCGACTTCTATCACCTGACAGCAGAACCAGTTAAGTAATAGATTGTTGAAATTATTAACGAGATACCATTATCCGAGTTGTCCCATTGGTGATTCCAAAGAATTTGATTTTGACAAGGTTTAGGTTCGTCAGTAGTTGTCGTAAAAGAAAACGGTCTGAGCAACGAAAAGCCCACAAAAGACGAGGCAGAGAGGGCAAAAACGGCGCAACCAAAGCGAACGCCACTGAAAACCATAGGGAAAATTGGACAAAACAACTACATTATAAATCACAAACAGAGCCGAAAATGAACAAGCATATGAAATTTTTGTTAAAATAAAAATTATTTGGATTACCAAAAACCAAATGTCAAAAAGAAAAAGAAAAAAATAGTTCAAAAAGAAAAATATTAAAACATCTAATAAGGCAAAGCGAAAGAAAACAGGTATAAAAAATTCAAATAATCATGAATGTTACGAAATGAATAGAAAAATTTTAAAAAGTTTTAATAAATAACACAAAGTATTAAAAAAAAACCAAAATTCAAGGAATGAAAGATTTTAGATGCAAAAAAATTTTACCGCTACAAGAAATTAAGAAAAAAATAACAATTAATATTCATAAAGTAATAGTAAGACAAAAGTAAATAATAATATGCACCAATGTTAGCAGTGAGGGGTGTGCGATGGACTTACCTCCACATGGTGCACCCTGGGCAACGTATACTCATGCGGCAAAAAGTCCATAATCCGGCAGTTGACTTCTGACTTCTAACTACCATCACTCCCCCTTTATGTCATATTTGACCACTTCCACAGTACTCACCTCATCTTTCTTCTACCTTTGTGCCTGTCTCTTT